GAAAAGACTGGGTATCTATCAAGATGAACCCATTTGTACACTGTGCGACGAAGACGATGAATCAGCCTCTCACATGTTATTCGAGTGTTCAGCACTCGCTTACTCGATACCTTCTGGAAGAGGAGCCTGTCCAGGAGAAGAGTCCCTTGAAGTCGCCAATAAAGAGGCTATTGCACCTGGCGAAGTTGTTAAACCTATTTTCTCAGAAATTTGCAGAGCAAGGGATACAATAAGCTAACTAGCTGCAGTATCAGGGAATCATTGAACCTTGCCTTGCTGCCGTATGTTGTATTACTTGATAGAGACACATAGGTTTTTGTTAATTAATATTATATTAATTATAATCGATAAATGATTACAACAGTCTTTGACAACTGCCTGACTTCTAATGCTTCTAATATAATAATATTAAATACTGGTAATTTTCTATATGTATATAGAGATGAGCTATATCTATCATGTAGGGATGGGCGCCACAGTGACATGCTCATATGACACCTCCCCTTTCAAGACAGAGTAAATAAAACAATAACTAAACTAAAGTAAACAAGGAAAGGAAATTATGAGTATTATAACAAGCACATGCTTTGAAAATTCAAATTAAAATCATTAAATCTTTGAGGTTGTTTAACGACTCTGCTGCTTCTTCTGGGAACTAAATTATTACGTCTAGAACTCTTCAAAGTTTCGGTTGGCTCAACAATGTGTTTGTCCCTAACATTATCTTCGGTTGTGTGGGTATATGAGCAAAGTCCGCAAGATCCTTTCTTAATTGATGATGTCCTCGAATTGGTCTACTGTGGCTACTGTTTCTTCTTAAAAGTTTCCCACTTTGCTTGTGTACTATATAAGACCTTGGAGTATCTAATTTTTTGGTAACTATTGCAGGTTGCCAAGTTTTGCCTTCTTGAATGACTACATTATCCTTATCTCCAAATTCTTTTCTTATTACTGCATTCCTGTCATAGTAATTTTTGTAGAGGTCTCTATTTTTTTTCCAACTTCTGTTTTTCTTCCTCCTAATCAATAGAAGTAGGAGTTGACAACTGTTTTGCTAAAGGCAGTTTGGCTCTCAATATTCTACCTGTTAGTAGTTGGGCAGGAGATTTATCCAATCCTGTGACTCGAGTATTGCGATATTTAAACAGAGCCAAATCTAAATCGTGACATTTCCTCAACATGTTTTTAGCTATTCCACATGTTATTTCAGCCAGTCTATTAGACTTGGGGTAATGAGGTCTAGATGTGACAAACTTGAACCACCACTTCTTGCGAAATCTAAACATTCTTTTGAATTATATGGCATATTATCTGCATAAACCTCTGTGGGGATACCATGGTTTGAGAATACTTTTTTCATGGCCGCAATTATAGCTCCAGAAGTTTTTCTTTCCAGCCTTATAACCTTTAACCATTTTGAGAAATAGTCTATTATGACTAGGTAAGAATGTCCTGCATATTCTAGAATATCACTGGCTGCTTTCTCAAATGGTAAATCTGGAAATTTTCTATTATTACCATGTTGCTCAGCCACTCTGTACGCTCCTCAAATTAAGAAATGATCCCTCTCTTCTCTAAGCTGTCTAAATGAGCTTTAAATCTATTTTTTTATTGCCAATGGCACTCTACGGGGTTGCTTCGCAACAGGTTCAGCATTCTTTTTTAATTTATGTGTAAATTTTTGGTTAAATCTACCTAACCCCATGAAAACATCTTGATTTTGCTTGATAAAATTGTATTTTTTTAGAGCTGTTAATGGATATTAAATTTAAGTTTATGCAACTTGACAGACCCAATATTGCTTTTGAATTTCCTTCAACTACAACAATTTTTTTTTAAACAAGCAATCTTAATTTTGAAGTCACCATAGGCCTTAAGAGTTACACTACATTTACTTAGTTTGATATTTTCATTTGGGTTAGTTTGGGTTATTTCATCAAATACATTTTTTGAAATAATATTCACCTGTGAGCCAGTGTCAATTTTGAAGTTAATCCACACTTTACCAATCTTCAGAGATTCAATCCACTCATTGCAGCTTTTCATTTCATTCACTGTGATGCTTGCCACTAAAAGTTCATCTTCAGAGTAGCTATCATTATTATTGTCCTTTTCATTAGACTTCAATAGAACTTCTTCAACACTTACGTTTTTATTTTTACACATTCTCTTGAAATGGCCATATTTTTGACAATTGGTGCATCTTTTACCAAATGCAGGACACTGGTCGATGTGCATGAGTAAAACCACAACACAACTTCGACAATCGAATGCCTCCATATTATTTTCGGTAACATGTGTATTGTTCACTGCTGGTACCTTGGAATTCTTTTACCTGTGCACTTGCTATCTCGTGTGCTCGACACACTTTAGTAGCTTTCTCCAAGTCAAGCTTATCCATCTGCAGCAATTTTTCCTGTGAAGCTTTGCTGCGAATTCCAAATATAATCTTGTCTCGGACCAATGAATCATACTCATGAAACTCACAACTTTTTACCAGCTTTCCCAAATCTGTTGCAAAAAAAATCAAAGGAGTCCCCCTCTTCCTGTTTTCTACTGTAAAACACAAATCTTTCATGTACTACATTTTTCCTAGGTGCAAAATATATGTTTCCAACTCTTCTAGGACAGTTTTATAGACCCTTTTCTGCTCATCTGTCAATTGTATATCTCTATGCCTTCCTCACCAATAAGATTTAAAAGGGTAGCTGTCTTAACTTTGTCTTCCTTTCATCCTTTCCAACTAAATATATCTCCCAATGCTGTTTAAACCTCTTAAAGTTTTCTGAGCGGTTTCCCTCAAAGGACAAGGGCGGTGGCAGCCTTACATCACTCATCATTATTTTTTTTCGTAAAATATGATTATTAACGCACAATGCTTTTTATCGATTTATTCAATTACCACAAGACTGCGCCATGAAGGTTAGCAAGATTTCAAACGTGGAATGTAAATGAAAATTGAATCTATGGAGGGGTGGAAACTGTTCCGACCAAAACAAGACTCAAATATTAGGCAGTGAGTTATACAAATTAGAATAAAATCAATGTTTCCAAAATTTCACACATCGATCGATCTGATCAAATAGTTTCTATGTACGTACGACTATTTGTAGATATTTTTTTGGAGCAATTTTAGTTGAAATTGTGAAGAGACAATAGCTATCTACCTGTATTGATTATTTTTAAACTTATGGACATTCGCAATCAGAAGAGCAGAATCTCAAAAAGTATTTTATAAAAATAATAATGGTAAAAACTTCAAAGCAAGTGACAAAGAAAAAAAGAATTGCAAAATTTTGGCACAGAGATTCACAAGGAAAGGTTAACTGGTTCTGTAAAAAGAGTTATTGGAGTAATCCTCTATCACTAATCGTTGCGATAAGATACTTTAGCTACATCACCGTAGAAGCAGGAAAGCCTGAAGTTCAGAATAAACTTCAGGCAAATAATACTGAAGCTGAAGTGTCTTCAGATCCAGATTCTACTGATTTAGAAGCGCTTGCCCAAAATAATTTTATTGTGAGGTCGTTGAATGGCTACCAATCAAATCTCAATCCAAGTAGACCCAAATTCGAGATAGGTATTGGAAAAAATCCCAAAGGTCGATTGATTCTTTTCAGCACAGATGAGTAAAACATTATTTGTCAATCTTGAATAATAGGTAAACTTAAAAGATTTTTTATGATATACGTTTATCATAGTTTTATTATTTCAATGATCGAAGGATGAAGAAACACGCTTCAGTTGTATTGGAGAAGGTAAAAAGTACCAATTTTTTTTTAATACAAACATAATAATATGGAATCTTTATTTTCTTTCAACATAGAAATTTATGAAAGGCCAATAACCGTCTCTAATTTCGTCTTGAGCAAGAACCCATGTTACACTGCCGCTCTAGGGCTCTAGATTTTATATTAACGACCTAACGGAAGATTTAGTAAAATATAATTGGCAATTTTCATTTCAAATTCAACTATTATTGCCCGGTTCTGTCAATTAATTTTGAAAATAGTGTAGATACCTGCACTACGGCGTGTGAACCTGAAGTCGAGTCTGAAGTTCATAAACTATTTCCGGTTGTAAGAAAAGTCGTTATATCGTGCAAGTTGTTTTATACCTACATATTATTATTATTTTACATATTAACAAATGAAATTGTACAAAAATAGTAGGTTATTACCAATAGAAATTATTCTCCCTTCAGCCGTCACAGCAATCGAAAGCCCTAAATTATGGTAGTTTGTTGGGGAAATATTTCAAATAAAAAGCCTGTATTTAATCAAAAAATAACATAGTAGACCGCATATTAGGTAGGTAGCCTTTGAAGACTATATTCTAAGTAAGTAAGGGGTTTTTCGTCAGAACATAAATAAGTTGATTCGTAAACTAGCTAATTGAAAATAATATACACATTAATGATATGGTAGGTACTGACTGTCCTTTACCTCTTCCTTCACGGAGCTATTACAAATTATTCTAATTGAAATGATTTTTTTCAATTAACCTACTACAGACTTTAACTATTATGAAAAAAGGAACCACTAGAATGGCATCAAGATTTCATCAGAGCTGAATATATTTTTTTTATTTTAATTTTTTGGCAATTTTTGAATTATTTGTTCCTATTATTCTTATTGGAAAGTAAAATATATTTTTTTTAATCGTCTATTGCATTTAGCGGGTTTTTTTGAAAGTTCATCGAAAAAATAGAACTTTTAATTTTTCTTGGTCCAACAACCAAGTGATCATTTTAGAAAGGATTGCTTCCTAATTTCTGTGTACTAACCGCCTTACGAACCCTAGAAAACATTGATCGAAAAATTAAGAATTATTCTAATTGAATTCGTTATATAGGTTCTACCTATTATATTGATTTATGCAAATCCAAAAGCACAACTTATAAAGGGTTTATAAAAGATATCGGAAATAACTTCTTAACTTGAGTCGATCCTATTAAAAAAATCTAAATGGAAAAAAATTGATTCAATTGTTTTACCAACCTTAAATACTTCCATTGTCCTTATTTCGAAAATCATTATTCCTATTAAAATCACTGAGATAAATAATAAAATATCCAATAGCACAATCGAAAGTAGTAATCCGAGAGTAAAAGTAAAATTTTCGGACGTCGGTCACAGATTCTGCACACGAATCGCTCGCACGGTACCAAATCCGGATTGTAAAGCGGTTGGTCTCTTGTTCGACTGCTGAATGAAATGTAATCTTCCGCTGCTGATAGTCGGGTAGGTACTTTCCACCTGTTGCTCTACCGATGGATGGACAACTGATGGTAATAGACTGTACGATAGCGGCCTACTTTTTAATTGTTGATATTTATCAGTGCTTTTTCTCCATTCATACTTTATTATATTGTGGCTAGAGGGCTAGAAAATTATTGGGTGGTTTTTGGTATTTTTTTGTTAGTCATCGCGAGCATCGTGAAATAATTTGCAATCTTTACAGAATTTTAGGAAAAGTGCAGTAAAATTGAATTGAACTAATATTTAATACATGTTTAAGAACTTAAAACCTAAATGCACGCATTTCCGCACTGATAAAGTCTTTGTTTTCGTTAAAATAATCAAACAACATTATCATTATAAACTTCCGGTATAAATCCTGAATTTGCTTTGATGAAATAGGTAAAGTGCGATTATTAAAAAATAAAATCACAATAATGCAAAATGACGCCACGACTAGGCGGAGTAGGTACTTTTCAGCGACAGTCGACAGCCAATTTTTGAGACCGAATTTTTACTCATCTATTTAGCAAATATGTGATCTGAAATTTTTACAATACTGTCACGGCTCTGGGTTGCGTGAGAGAAATCTTGGGTTCGTTTATTTCAAAATTAAAGTCCAATTAACACAACAATAATTTATTCCACGTTATTACACACTCTGACACTAATTACTTCACTAATTAACTCAAACAACTTAACACTTCACAACTTACAATAATCACTATCTAAAGCGTTTCACAGCCAATCTTAAACTTCAAAACTACTAACTAATACCGGCCTTTATATATCCGTAATCTATTCTTGCAAAATCCAGAATAAACGCGATAGATCTTTTTCCCGAAGAGCACTGCAAAATCAGAATTCTGCTATCCGATTCTGTATCTTCTGGCGGAGGCGCGCGTTAAATCCGTTACACTGCCCTTCTCTTGAGATTGATCGTCCCGATCAACTTCACGACAATGATATTTCGTCAATTTGTCTAGATGTACAACTTTCATCTTGCTCCTGGTGTTGCGCCGAACTCGATAAATCAAATCATTGATTCTCTTGATTATTCTGTACGGTCTTTCCCATGCTGAAGACAATTTCGGCGACACTCCTTTCTTCCTTGCTGGATTATACAGCCACACTAAATCACCTTCTTGAAATCCGGCTGAATTGGCTTTCAAGTCGTATCTGGTCTTCATACGGCCACTGGCCAGCTGAATATGCTCCCGAGCTAAATCGTGTATTCCCAGAAGATCGTGCCCTTACTTCGGCGGCATAATCTCGAATTTCTTTTCGTTCTTCTTCAGGCATTCGAAACATCAGATCGCAAGATGACCTGAGTTCCCTTCCAAAAACGATTCTAGCTGGATTCTCACCTGTTAACTCGTGAACAGCGGCTCTGTAAGCCATTAAAAATAGAGGCAAGTGTTTGTCCCAATCTCGCTGGTTCTTTGCAACCACTTTTGTCAGGTGTTCCTCTATGGCCTTATTAAATCGCTCCACTATGCCATCAGATTGTGGTAGTAAAAGTGTTGTTCTTGTCTTACGAATACCCATGATCTCACAAATTTTCTTAAAGATGTCAGATTCGAAGTTATGTCCCTGATCTGAATGCAACTCTAGTGGCACACCATGATGACTGAAAACTTTGTCCACTAGCACCTGGGTAATAGTAATGGCTTCTTGATTATAGGAATAGCGAAAACTTCTGGCCATTTACTGAAGTGATCCATGATAACCAAGATGTATTTGTTACCACGCTCTGACTCAGAGAATGGTCCGGCAACATCCATCGCTTTTCGTTCAAATGATATTAAATCGCTCCACTATGCCATCAGATTGTGGTAGTAAAAGTGTTGTTCTTGTCTTACGAATACCCATGATCTCACAAATTTTCTTAAAGATGTCAGATTCGAAGTTATGTCCCTGATCTGAATGCAACTCTAGTGGCACACCATGATGACTGAAAACTTTGTCCACTAGCACCTGGGTAATAGTAATGGCTTCTTGATTATAGGAATAGCGAAAACTTCTGGCCATTTACTGAAGTGATCCATGATAACCAAGATGTATTTGTTACCACGCTCTGACTCAGAGAATGGTCCGGCAACATCCATCGCTTTTCGTTCAAATGAGATACCGACGTTATACTGTTTCATGGGCCCCCAAGATCTAAGTTTAGGGCCTTGGTAGCACAGATGTCGCATTTTCGGCACCAGTTTTTAACGTCTTCATGATAGTGAACCCAGTGGAAACGTTCCCGAATTTTGTCCAAAGTCTTAATTGTCAACTCCAAAATGTGCCCCTGAAGTTCCGTCATATATTTCTCTTAATACATCTTCTACTCGATCTTTTGGAATAACCAGTTGGCTCTTAGTGGATTTTCCATCGGCACTTTCCCAAACTTCTTTGAGTAAACCATTTTCCACGGTCAGAGAGTTTCACTGAGCCCACAACGCCTTGTAAATCAAGCTCTTGTTCGACACTTCCCTCCATTCTGGCCTACATTCATCATTTTCTTTAAGATGCAGAATTTACCCGATGTCCTGGTCTGCTTCTTGATCTGCTCTCATTTGTTTGGTAGTCCATTTATTATCGACGATAAGATCCGTTCTTTTCACAGCCGGACCAGTGTTTTTTTCATGCATATGGATTCTTTGAAAATGCTTGCAGTCTTCTTTGCATGGCCGTATAGACAGAGTGTCAGCATTTTTATGCAGGTTTGCAGGTCGATGTTCAATCTGGAAATCGAATTGCTGCAATTTCTCAATCCATTTAGCAAGCTGCCCTTCAGAAGTTTTCATTTCTAAAAGCCATTTTAGAGCTGCGTGATCCGTTCGAATTAGAAACTTACGTCCGTAGAGATACTTATGGAAATGGTCGACTGCTTTTACTATGGCAAGCAACTCTCTTCTTGTGATACAATAATTTCGTTCCAGCTTTGATAAGGTTCTGCTATAGTACTCTACGAAATTCTCTTGTGAATTTTGGATTTGTGAAAGGACAGCTCCAATAGTGATGTTGCTTGCATCTGTGTCCAAAATCAACATACCTTTCTGATCAGGATAGGACAACACTGGGCTTGTATTATCTATTCACAATCCGATGTTCAAAGGTAAAGTGTTACGGGATGATTTTTCCCGGGCCAAAATAAAAGGAAATAAGCTTATTCGCCTCTCTGAATAGCATACCTTCCTCAAGCCACTGTTTTCTATCCGATAATTGTGGTCACACTTTTCATTAAACTTTTCATTCTTCCCAGAATTATTAAGTTAGAGGTTTAATAATGGAATTGATTTCCTTTTGGTAGGGTTAAAATAAATAGTCAGTTAATTTATTAATAAATAAAATCACAATATTTACATTGGAACAGCTGATTGTCTGATCCGAGTAGATTGACTAGATTGACAGCGCTCCAAATAGGGTCAGTGACCGGTACTAACTTAATTTGAATAAGTACCATGCCCCAACTACCATCAAAATCCCCAGTACCTTCCACCTTGGAGTTTTGACAGAGACTTTTTAAAGGACATTGCAGGGACAAGTAGAGGTCATTCAGGTCGAGGACTTTCCACGATTAAGTGTTCGGGAAAATTCCTCAGGCACATTTTGCCGATTTTCTGAGTTGTCTAGTTTTCGCTAATAGATCTAGGGTGGCTAATCCGTTATTTTACGTTAAGTTACGCTCGAAACATCGCCATTTGAAACGACCGATTAGTGTGACGTCACTCAGCAACAAAATTCCGTTCACAGTCCTTGGTTGACAGTGACCTGTGAGCAGGTAGATTTAGATTATGGTTATGTTGTTATGTATGCCGTTTATGATAGATTTGACATTGACAACACCAGCAGCACATGGTGTGGCAGCGGTGCGACCCGATTATTACTACCCTTTGACGTCAGGACCCATAGAAATACGTTTTTGATCTCGTCAAGAATTTCGAATTATTTGGTATTTTCAATTGAAGATTTTGAAAACCAGAGATAAGATATAATATCCTTTTCCTAATTGCATCATTTATTAGGATGATTGTTATTGTATCTTATTATTTATTTCATATTTAATTTTATTTTCTACTTTACTATTATAGATCCATAATACCTAGGAAACGAAATACGTTAACACGCCTATAACAACCTGATCCATAACGCCCGCTTTTGCGGGCGTTATGATCTATAACGCCCGCTTATAATACCTTAAGGTGTTTTTGTTGTTGTTGTTCTATTAATTTGCACTTTACCCTAGGCAGCCACTAAATGTCTGACCGAAAATAATTTTCGGTCTAGCCAGGATTCGAACCCGGTCTACCATCAATGTTTCCCATGTAGTCCAGCGCGTTAACCCACAGGACCACCACCGTTGCCTTGCCTTATGAGATGCTTATAGATATATTAATTTATTTCGTTTCTATGTACAGGTCGCAGGTACAGGTACAGGTCACAGGTACAGGTACATGTCAAAATACAAAACAATATTCTGTCACACAAGTTTAACTGATTTTGTTAAGTACAAATTGATGAAAAAACATTGTGTTGAGTAGAAAATAAAGCATTGTATGCACCACGGGGATTTCAAGATTATAATGCCCTTCAGGCGAAATATATCCCTCGGGCCATAGGCCCTCGGGCTAGTTTCGCCTTCGGGCATTATAATCTACATAATCCCCTTGGTACATAAATAGCTATAATGTGCAAGTTCCCTATTGTTTGTTCCTAAAGGTCAATGCTGCACTGAATACAGGTAAATACTTGTACACTGGGGTTAAATGGCCATTTACGAAGGTACTGCATTCAGTAAGCTTGTCTATTGATCATTTATATTTCAGGTATTATTGCTGTTAATTGTTATACTTTTTATTTCTTTATTTAGGGACTCAAGTTGAGTGTAATTAATCATTATTATAAATACTATTTTCAGAACATATGGTTAGACGATTTCTTTTCTTGTTCTGTTCTGGTTCCAGTGTA